CCTGGGGTCACTGAGACTGTCTCAGGAGGTCTGCATGGTAAAAACTAGTTTTATTATAAAATTAGGACGTTAAAAGGTTTTTCATTCCCATTTTTCAGAGGCTGCGTGAAGTGTGATGAACTGGTGCCTGTGCAGTCTTATGTTTTCTGAAAATTTCTAAGGCAGAAGTTTAGGGTGTAAACATGTGTGTGTTCAGAGATTAACTCAGTTTGTTCTCAGGACTTCAACCGAGTATTTACTAGTAAACTTATGCTATACCTATTATAATCTGTTATCTCATTATAATCTAATAAATCATTATTTTGAAATCCTGAAGATGTGCAAAAATGTAAAAATAATGCCATTTTTCCTCTACTTTTTCAACTTTGGAAAATGGTTATTTTTCACACAAATATGCCTTTTATGTTAACATGTTATGACTTTTTTTATTATTTTAAACGAATAAATAACTTTTTACATTTGTTTTAATTTTTTAACATGGTAAATGTTAACAGATACAGCCAATAAACAAAAGATAATAGTAAGGAATCCTAGGATCAAAAAGTTTGAGAATTGCTCATCTAGAAAGATGTGTTAGAAACAAACAAACAAACAAAAAAGATTAAATTCAGTGTGTGCATTAAAAAAGTAGCATTCTGCAAGGGGACTGGTTTGTATATGTCTTAAATCTTGCTTTATTATTTTTTAAATGGAGATTAATTAACAGATGTATATATCCTGTCACCCAGCAATCCCACTTCCAAAAATTTCTTCTGTTGGCATACTTACACAGGTAGGAAATGCCATTTGTACAAAGTTATTCACAGCAGCTTGCACATAATGACAAAATACTGGAAACAACCCAAGTCAGGGGAGAGAGGGAGGCAACACATATTGGTTAAAAAATTACCTTCCTTCTCTATCCTGGAACAATATGCAGCTATAGTAAAAGAATAATAAAAGCATTCTATGCACTGATATGGAAAGATCTAGCAGAGCTGCTGGGTGAAAAAAGCAACGTGCTAAACAATGTCTAAAATGCTAACCTGTAGCATTTGTAAAAATGGGGGTGGGGTGGGCAGAGGTTAAGACCTTTCACTGTATAAGGGGTATGTGTGTGTGTGTGTGTGTGTGTGTGTGTGTGAGCCTTTTAAACTGTTTTTTATCCTTCTGATCTTTGAACTATGTGAATATACAGCCTAGAGAAAAAGCTTTTCCCATTAAAAATTTTTTTCTTCCAGTTTTATTGAGATATAATTCACATATAGTTAAAAAAATTTAATAAAAGAAGTGAAATGAGAAATCACAGGTGATACATGCAGGTGTGATCTGTATATATAAACAATTTGCAAGTCTAATTAGGGGACCTGGAGACCCAAAGAAAAGACCTCGGCCCTCAATCAAAGTTCTGGAAAATAAAAATACATGCACATGGGGGTGGGAAGCAGGGAACTGAATGAAGGCACTTAAAAGGTACAAACTTTCAGTTATAAGATAAATAAGTACTAGGGATGTAACACACAACATGACAAACACATTTAACACGACAGTAGATTATATATGAAACTTGTTAAGAGAGTAAATCCTAATAAGGCTGTCTCATCACAAGGAAAAAATTTTTTCTCTGTTTCTTTAATCTTGTATGTCTATGAGATGATGTATGTTCATCAAGTTTATTGTGGTAAGTCATTTCATAATTGTGTACAAAACAAACCATTATGCTGTACACCCTAAACAGTGCTGTTTAAAATAAAACTGGAAGAAAAAAAATGCATGCACATGTTTTTAAGGTAAAATGAATTGTTTAAAACATGGATTTTTAAAAAAAATTCCCAACTTTCAGCTGACAGTTTTTATTAATTACTAATGCTGAATAAGGAGGACCCAATGGTAATAAATTCAAGAGTCACATTCTCATTTCCGCGAACTCCATGACTCTCCTGGGCCTGAGTTTTGAAGGTTAGGAGGCCTGAGGATACAGTCAGATCTTAAGTTTCCAAGGCAGAGAATTTGGTTTCCCATAGATGAGCAAGCCAAGCACTCTCTCCAGGCTGATTCTGTGGCCACCCTCCCACCCCTGCTTTTGTGTGTGTGTGTGGTCGGGTCCCATCTAGGAACCTCGATAGCCACGGTGAGGATGAGGACAGGGCAGCTGGGCCTCGGAGACCTTGTGATGAGGCTGCCTTGCTTGCCCCAGGGAGGGCACGAGGCCCCTGGCTGGCAGCAGACTCTGGACTCCTTATCTGCCAGCATTCGGCCAGCCCACCAGCCTCCAGGTCAGAGAAGTCTCGTTGTAGACATCTGGAAAGTCCTGGCTGGGGCTCCAGCAGCATGATCCTTCCTCATCCACTCCCCACCCTCCTATGTCTCTAGGGAGTCTGGAAAGAGAAGGAAAAAGAGAAGACTCCTCCAGAAGAAATTTCTACCCATACAAGCGGAGAACCACCTCCCGCCAAATAAGCACTTCCTCCTTCTTCATGTTTTCAAGGAAAAGTCTAAGAGTATCAGCAATTTTATAACATTTAGGAATAAAAATCAAACCTTCCTTTGGTCCTCTCTATCAAGCCTCTTGGCCACCAGCAAGCAACGTTACTTGGGCACATCAATTAACCTCTTGATATCTAGTTTCTTCAGTTGTAAAACAAAGTCCTAGACGCAAAGATTCCCAAAGTCCTTCCAGTTCAACCTCCCATCGTCTGTGGTTCTGCAAAACGTTTAAGTCTTGCTGTCTTCAGGCATCCAGGGCGAACAGGCTGAATTATTTTGGAGGAGGGCCCGATTTCCAGACATATACATCTATTCATAGCACTACCACTTAGATGCCAAATCCTGTAAATATTGGGCATGGATTGAGGTTCCTCCTGGAATAGAGGCGTGGGGAGGTAAGGTAAGAGGAAGAGGGTGGAAATGGTCTGAAAACAACCCGCCCAGTGACTGGAAGATACTGTATGTGCGCATGCGCGCACACTGATCTGTACACGCGCGCACATTATTAGTCCTTCCCGCTTAATTATCAGCCCAGAAAGGGAGTACCTCCATAATCTGAAGAAATCAGAGTAGCTCCCAAAACTAAAAGTGGGAAAAGGCCTTAGGGGCAGTGAATCTGTGCAACAATCCCTGGCAGGCCAAAGAAAAGAGGCCTACCCAGAAAGGCAGGGAAACTGGGGACAATGAATCAACCGTTAAGTCTGGGCTCATGGTAATTCCTACAACCCAACGTAACTATCAACGCCTAGGACCCCTGAATAATCCACTCCATCCCACAGAGATGATAATGATGATGATGAAGCCGATAACAAGCCCTCTACCAGGCTCCTGGCACAATCACAACGTGCTGCAGCACCCCCCTGCTGGAGAGTGACCAGGCCAAGGACTTAAATAGATCTAATCTGGCTCAAAAAAGCCTGGTATTCTCCTGCCACTTTTCACCACCTCTAGTAGAGCGCTGTCTTCTCTGAACTTGACTGAACACAAAAATGTGACCTCTCTTGTGTCGCCATGTTATTCTATATGTATGGGTGTTCTTTCTCCCCAACAAGTGTCTCCAGGAGCCAGGCCCCATCCTCTCTTCGCACCCTCCAGTGGCCAGTGCAGAGCCAAGCGCAAACCAGGCACCATGTATTTATATACTGAGGGGGTGAGATACTTAGAATCACAGGGCTCTGGTACCTCACAGAGGGCTGACAATTCTGTTCGGTGCCCTCCAGTCATATCTGCAAACCAAGGAAAGTACCACTAGTCTATACAATTTACGAAAAACTCACCTCCGAGTCTCCAACAAGAAATGGAATGTGTAGTTTTTAATTGCAGCTGCTAAAAGTTATGATTCTCGACATTCTTTCTCTTGCTTCATCGAGTCTGTCTCAGTTTTTATGGCTCTTGTTTTAAGAGTTAAGGATTAATTGTAGATGCTGTGGATAAGAGACCACAGATCTAATCTGACCTTAGCAAGACCCTTCCTCAGGCCATAGGACAAGTTAGGAGCAGAGCTGGGACAGAGGCCAGGTAGCCAGGGTAGTACCCACTACAGGTTACCACCACCAATTCCCAGCAGCCCACCTAAGTGGGGGTTCCGAGGGAAAAGTGACTACAGACAAATTCACGGCCAGGGAGGCTCCAGGAGGGTCAGGTCAAAGCTCCTCCTGTCCCCACCCCTTTCCTTAGGCCATCAAGAGCACTCACCTCCTCACCAAATCATGCTCTCATGGTCCTCTGGGACACCCAGACCCTAGCAGACACTAGATCCTCAAAACGGAAGCCACAACGCAGAGTTGAGAAAAATTTCTTGACTCAGCTGGACCTCAGGATCACACGGTGAAACTGGATGATACCCATTGCCCTAACCCACCAAGAGAGGGCAGCCTGCGCCAGACCACCTAACTCACTCGGTAGGGACCAAAAATAGCTAAAAAGCCATGCCCACGGGATAAGCCAGGTTGGAGTTCAGTTAGTCCCTCCTTTGCCATTCTCCAGCTCCTGCCACCGGCCTGCCGGAAGATATGGGGCATTTATCTTTAGCTGGTAGGTGGTCTGGCCGGGTTGGGTAGCGGAGGGTGGACACAGTTCCCGGAAAGCAAAGTCCAGACACCAGTGCCCAATCAGAGCCGCCCCGAGAGCTGCCCACCAGATTTGCCCGTCTACTCTATGCTTTTTCTGTCCTGGTGTCCATAGGCTCCAGGAAACCTCTCTCAGCCTTTTAGTGCGGCTGTCGCCGTTCCCGACATCCTGCTGTCTCCCACATCCCGCGCTCTGCCTTCTTCTCCTTCCCTCGCCACCAAGTAACCCTCGTCGTGGCAGTGCGGCCAGGTGTCGCCTCCATCCAGTGTCCAGGCCCGTGTGCCGGTCCGCTTCACCGGAGCGACTCCGGAAACCGCGGCCGGGCTCCGGATCCTCGGCGCAACCCTGCCCCCGCCCCCACCCCCACCCGGTGACCCCGAGCCCTGGCAGCGCGCTGCTCCTCCGCGCGATGCCCCATCCCCGGCGCATGGCGCGGCCCCGCCCACACGCCGTCCACCCCTCACCTGAAGCAGGGCGGACGCCACTGGGCCCCTGCGCCCTCACAAGCCAGGCCCTCGGGCGGCCCGCAGCAGCAGCGGCACGGGCAGCGCAGCTAGGTCGGTGCGTCCCCGCAGGCAGCCCGCGCGCCCTCGCCCCCCTGCCTGCGTCTGTACTCCGCGCGGCGCGCATGCCCCGCTATATACCCTGCGCGTCACGGCCCGGCCCGCCCCCGCTCTCGGCCCGGCCCCGCCCCCGCCCCACCCCGCTGTCCCCGGGGCCTGCCACGTGGGACCCCGGCTGGCGGTAGGGCGACGTGTGTGAGCTGCCTGCCAGCCGCCCGCTAGACCCAGACCAGCGCTTGGCTTGCCCAGGCTTGCGGAGCGAGCCAGCGCCTTTCCGCGCCTCTAGGCGCCGGCCGAGACCCTAGCTCACCAGATCCTAGCTCACTTCCTAGCTCTGCTCTATCAGCTTCATCTTCTAACCCTGCTGCGAATTCCATTCATCTTTCACGAGGCCCCACAGGCTCCTCCTTCCTCTGGAAACCTCCCATTACTAGACCTTTCCCTCCTTGAGTTTGAGATTTGCAAATGTTAACTACTATATATAAAAATAGATTAAAAATTTCTTCTGTATAGCACAGGGAACTGTATGCAGTATCTTGTAACCTATAATGAAAAAGAATATGAAAACAAACATATGTATATATATGCATGACCGGGACATTATGCTGTACACCAGAAACTGATACATTGTAACTGACCATACTTGAATTAAAAAGAAAGAAAAGGCCTTTCCCTCCTTAACCGGGGGCGTTCTCACAACCTGGCCTCCATCCCCTAAGAGTAACACTGCTACTGCTACCCACGCCATACGTATGCATGTATATAAACACATATATCTTCTGATTAATGTTCGATTCCAAAATGCACCCTGGAAAGGGACGCACCCATAGACGGTGTTTCTTCTGCATTTTTCCACCAGACAAAAGAACAAAAAACTTCAGTTCAAGTTCCAAATGAGCCATATTATACTCGTTTTTCCGAACTAGATGTTACACCACTCCCCCCAAAACGATCAGGCTCCTTAGGAAGCCATAGTTTTTAACCAGAAAACTGGGAGAAATGTTAATTTTTGTGTGAGGATTGTCGTAGGACCCTTTTCTGATGTGGAGTGGTTCTATTGAGATGGATATCAAGCCTCGGAAATGCAAATTTCTTGGGAAAATAAGCCACCATTTAACTCCTATTGTTCTATTCTGGCTGGACGTCAGGATTATTTCCTCTGCAGCTACTCCAGCTGCCACCTGGGTTTAGGGGACTCAAAGGAAGGGCCTTCCAAGCAGGACTGTTGCCTGTTAGTACCCACATCCTTGTTCCAGCTCAGTGACTGGTGCCCAGCTGGCACTAAGTGTCTCTGAGAATTTGCACAGAGAAGGGGGATCATATCCCACTCTGCAAGGGAAAGGAAGGCCCATGATGGCAGTTCCCATATGAAAGGGAAGCAGACAATCCCAGGAGCAAGGGGTAGGAAGAATCTGTGACTCAGCGGCAGCCACTTCCTCCCTAGGAGGAGGGTAGAGAGGAAGAAAGAAAGGCACTGAAGCAAAGCCAGAGCAGGCCAGACTCTGCCACTCTTGAAGATACTAGCTGGATGGTGGGTTTTTCTAAAATTTAATTATCCTCACCCTGCAATTACAGTGCTCCAGCTGGGTAAGGGGTGGGGTGATACTCTTTTCATTTGCCAAGAGATTTCAAAGTAATGGTATCTCTTGCAGAATCTCCCTCAGAGCCCCTTCATCTTTGTAATAACCCTTTATATTTGTCTTTCTTGGTTAAACTTAGGTATTTTTCAGACATTATGTCATCTATTTGAGACTCAACCCCATCTCCAATAGGCTGTCAGAAATGGCCCAGTCTCTACCACCCCTCCCTTTTCTTGAAATTCTGGAAAAGGAATGAGAAACTCACCCAGTGATTAAGTAAAACAAGCATGCTTCTAATACATAGAGCTCTGAAAAGTATGACACCCATAAATGTATTACAAAGAGGTGTTAAATTCTCCCTTAAAACTGAGGTCTGAAAGCAATCCCAAAGGTTCTTCCAGGCAGTGTGTCAATACTACAAACTGGGGGGAAAAGGTATGTGTCAGAGAGATGGGAGGGGGGCAGGACAAGACACCCCACCACAGGGCCTATCACAGCGTTCTCACTTGTTTGCAACCAGCGAAGGGTAGAGCTGCCGAAGTCCACCAGAGCTGATAAGCTATCAGTAATCCATTAGGGAATTCAATTAATTATTAACACAGCTCAAAATCAGAAGGTCTTAACTCTCCACATCCACCCCTACACTAAATTCTTTAGGTGCACCCAAAGTCCTGCCTTGTCACTCAGTCTTTCCAGCCTAGGGCCAGGTTTGGGGCCCCAATTCTATCTTACTGTCTGCCTCGTATGCCCCTCTTTCCTCTTATTACCCCATTTCCACTTGTATCTCTAACTCTTCAAAGCCCCCTCCCTTCACAAAGCTTCTTGATTCTTTCGAAGCATATTTGATCTATCTTTTCAAATTTTTAAACTGTAACCCACAGTAAAAAAATATTTTGCATTGCATCTCCAGTACAAATAACAATAGAGCAAACAAAAATCTTAGAAAACTTCCTTAGATATGCAACGTATGGATATGTTATATTTCTATTTCAGTTTTTTAAAAAGTGGCAACAAACCCACCAAACTGATTTCATTCTCCATTATTGGATTGTGATTCACAGAATTAAAATAGTTCATATGCTTTATGGTACTTCCATTTTCCCCTTAAAATTTCATTTCTCTCTAACCTCTTTATTAGACTTTAATCTTTCTTGATTACCGAAGATTTCTATATATACCTGTATCCCCTACAATAACATCTTGCACATAATAGATGCTCAGTAAATATTGGATGAATGAAAAGGCCAGCTCTAAGTATAATGTCGGGCAATATTTCAGGGACTGAACAAAAATCTGACATTTTTGTGACTGCTATTTCCCTTCTGACAAGATACCACAGCTGCCTGCCAAAAGATGTGCAGATGGATTTCCCACAGTCTCGGGAAAGAACCTAGCGAAATGAAACCCCAGCCCTGAGACTGTATAGGGAGGGACTGGGGACTCAGGAAATCAAAGCCCCCTCTTTGGTTTGCGTTGACATGGTAGCAACTTGGTCAGCAGGGTGGGGCAAAGATCCCCTTCCCACTCCCCAGCTATCAGGCCAGCTCTAGAGAGACTGAAGTGGCCGGGGTTCTATGATACTTTCAAGAAGAAAAATGAGTTTTCTATGTTTTGGCATGTCAGAGAATTTAAAAGGATCAAAGGCAATGTGAAGGTTCTAGTTTTTCCAAAATCCTGTCAGAGGACTAGCACCCCACACTCTGTCAGCCAAAAGAGAACATCTTTAGAAGCCTCAGTCACTTCTGTTATCATCTGATGGTTTCAGCAGACAAAAAGGACAACTGGGAAAAAAATAAGTCAATTCAATAGCAAGTTATCTATAGGAATTTGTCCATTTCATTAAGATTCCTAATTTGTTGGCATTTAATTGTTGACAGTATTCCCTAATAATCCTTTGTTTCTGTAAGGTATTTTATTTTCTCTTTCATTCCTGATTTTAGTAATTTGCCTTTTTTTTTTTCTCTTGGCCAATCTAGCTAAAGGTTTGCAAATTCTATTAATCTTTTCAAAGAAGCAACTTTTGGTTTTGTTGATTTTCTCTGTTGTTTTTCTGTCCTCTATCTCATTAACTTCTGCTCTGATCTTTATTAGAAAATGTCTTCTCCTTTTGAGACAGGAGGGAAAGGGGCAGGGCACAACCTTTAAAAGAATGTTGAGGATAGGACAAAAACTACTTAGAACCCAAGATGACAGAAGATTCAACTTCCAGTAGATCTTAATTAAGCCTTATTATCCACTCATTGTAATATATTAGCAAGCTAAATGATACATTCACAGGTGCCAGGACACTTCTGAGGCTGACTATAAAAAGCCAAACAGTGAGTGGTGGCTTAATTCCTGGAAATTCCTGCCCCTTCCTCAAAATATTTGTAATAATCCTCCCACTTGTTAGCATATGAAATTACCCAGTCCATAAAAACTAACCACCCCTCCACCACCACCTCGGGGCCCACTGTTGCCTTCTGAGATGGCCCATGCTCTGTCTATGGAGTGTTATCTCCCTGAATAAACCCGCTTTCACTGTACTTCGGTTCGCTGTTGAGTCTTTTCCTGCGTGAAGCCAAGGACCCTCACTTGGAGGCTCGTCCCAGGGACTCGCCCAAGACCTGAAATGTGACCATCCTCTCGCGCCCTATTTTCCTGCAACACTTTGAATGAATGTTTTGCTGGGAACAGAATTACAAGTGGACATTACATTTTTAAGTTATTATTCCTTTTGTTTTCCGCATCTGTTGTGGTTGCTGACAAATCTGCTGCCAGTTTTTCCCTGTGAGCAGTCTCTCTGGCGGTTTTTAAGATTCTCTTTGGTGTCCTAGAGCTTCACTACAGCACATCCAGGAGTGGCTGTGCTCTTCGCTGTCTCAGTGAGTTTCTTCACGTGGAGGATTCATGCTTGTCTCTCATTCTGGAAAACCCTGTCCTTATATCTTCCATACTGTGCGGCTCTTTGTTTTAACCTGGAGGAACTCATTCGCTCCTATGTCTTCTCTTCCATAGTTCCCACTTAGACCTCTCTAGCTGCAACCCAGCTGACTGGGTGTTTTGTTTCTGGAGGGCACAGGGCTCACACCAGCCTGGGCCAGTCTTCATGGTGATTTGTCCAGTGTGTGGTCTTTCCACATGCTAACAACATGGATTCGGGCTGTACACACCTGTCTGTGGCCCAGGCTCGGGGATTTCTCATGAATGCCTTTTGCCCCAAGTGTTCTTGCTGTTCCCCCAGGATGGCTGGCACAGAATCTCTACTCCCCTTCAAGGCTCCAGCTCTCTTCATCCAGGAGAATTCACTCCAGCAATCCTGCACCTCATTGGGTCTAAGGCTGCATCTTGTATCCTTACCTGAAAAACCTCAGAGCTCCTGTCCCTGCGTTTTGTCTGTAGCCCTGGGATCTGTGCCAGCATCAACTGTAGCCACTCTTGGCTCCCCTTTCCTTCTTGTACCTCGATATTTTCCTTCCTCCCCACCCACAACTTCCTCTCTC